TTTTTAATAAAAAAAAAAAACAGAAAGTATATCTCCCTAAAGTATATTCCTATTGCTTATCAAAAATCTTTGAACCTAATATCTAAGGACCTAACTACTTCTGTTTCTTACCAAATCATCTCTTAAATCTCTAATTCGGTTGCTTTACTTCTTTGATCACACTCTTCATTGCTCTTGATTAACATGTCTATTTTTGCCCATCCTTTTATTCATGACTTCCTCCTTCTAACCAACAACTTGAATTCTTAACACCAATGAGTCTCCACTTCAGACTCTGAAGTTTTCTTAATTCTAATTAATAATTAAGATGACAGTAATGGCTACTCTTTGACATGCATTTTTGAGCAGTCCAAAGGAGCTTGCAATATAAGTTATTAAAACACTTACATACTGGTAATTTAAATTTGCACTGAATTTTAGATTTATATATGTCATCATATTTGTTGATTCTTTTACTACATAAAAACTGAGTTTAACATTGTCTAAATATGCTATTGCAAGGGTTTATAAGTAAATTATTGGAAAAGCTAAATCCCACCTAAACAAGAGTTCCTACCTTTTGGAAATCAACAAATCTTGATTTATTTGTATCTAACAAGAATCTCCTTCTGTTGGCACAAACTGGATTTCGGCAGATGTTTGGCTGTGTGTATTTGAACTGCTGTTCTACATCCTTAATCACTGTCTGACAGTCCAAGCAGAGGAATGTTCCGCTCACAAGCTCTGGGTGAACTGGATGAGTTCGTACCACCTGCCCACTGATGCGAGTGAGCAAACCAATTCTGGATGAGGTGAGTTCTCGAATTCTGTTTAAAGACAGATGTCCTATTAGTAAATATTTTCCAACTAAAAATATTTCATTTTTAATAACAAGTTATCCAGAGATAAATTGCATTAAAAAATCGAGATAAGATATTCTTTGGACTTTCCTACAAGAATGATGTACAGTCAATGTGCCAATTCCTAAATTACATAACGTATACACATTAACAAAATGAAGAAACATGAAATATTTAAAAGCAAAGAAATGAAGTTGCAATTATAAAACAGGTTGATCCCATTTGTTTTATGTACAAATTTATTTTTTGCTTACCTGGAATTTGTAAGCATGTATTTCTATGCATGCATATGTAGTTGTTAAGAAAAAATTTTACACTAAAGTTGAAAAACAATTCCTTTACTTCATGAATATATTTTATATTAAATAATTAGGTAATTTTAGCAGTTTAAGTTTTCGAGGCAACACTTTAATTTCTTCTAATAAATTTATTCTTTAAATGATTGCAAAAAGCGAGTGTTTAAAGGTTATGCCATTTAAACTGACAAAATTTCCAAAAATTAATGAATTTCCATGATTTTTCTCAGATGTTTTATTTTTTCACTTGACAAACTACTCCCTCCATTTCTCCTAAATATTGTTTTTAAATATGACAAGATCTCAAAAACTGTTTCACTTACTTCTCACCCCATTTCCCTAGAGAAACATTTCTCTAAAACTAAGCTTTCTGGATAACTGTGTGTAAGTCTTTGCAAACCTAAGAATATACCCTCCCAAGATTTTTGACAATTAACAATGCCTATAATATTTGCTTAACTCCTTTTCTTCTAAAAAGTGTTTCTTACTTGTGTCTAGTAGGTAAGTCTTGGAAAGCTACATAAAAATCCTTAGCCAGAGGGATCTCCTTACGGTCTTTGACAAAAGTTTTCAAGGCCCGACAAAGGTAAGGGTAAACTCTGAAAAACAAAAGCAAAAATAAACAACAAAATAAAATACACTGATATCTTATGGTGACCTACTAACATCTCCTTTTCCCTTTGCCAACTGCTGCCATGAAAGACTTTCATCTGATCACAACAAAACATTAGAATACTTACAGATACTTCTATTACCTACTATAGGAGCCTCTTTCAAGCCTCTTACCCTACCACAAGTATATCTAAGACAAGAGAAACAACAGAAATAAAATGCTGTACTTGAATATCTTATTTTCTTTAAAAAGTATTTTAGCACCCACGGTGCATGCAGTTCATTCCTACCTAAGATGACTTTACCTAACAATCAAGGTAAAATACAATCTAGCAAGGCAGTCACCCATTTGGTGTCAAGACTTAGTATTTTTCTAGATTTAATTCTTGACTGGTAAGAAATGGATGAGGGTAGAGAAGGAATTTGAGAGCAAATTGGCATAAATGCTCCACTTCACTGTTAAAATACATATATGTCCTCAAGACAGAAATTCCTAATAGCTGCTGCAGGTTGATTTGTATTTAAACAAGCCAAGTTCTCAAAAAAAAATTAGCTATTTTTTTGGTCCTCCCTGGTGGTGCAGCGGGTTAAAGCACTGCACTGAGAAGCTAAAGCCACTTTCGTGTGAGTTCGATTTTCCCACCTGCCCCGAAGGTGGCCACATGGCATGGCAGACCTCTCCTGACCCGCCCGCTGCTCCCCTCAGCAGTGTACTTCGTCGATCTGCCTGTTCTGCTCCCCACTCTGTCTCTGGTGAAGCCTCTCACTGCCCCTGAGCCTCTGGCCTGTACCCCAGTTCTGTATGTACAAATAAATCTTTAGAAAAAAAAATTAGCTATTTTAGGAAATAGAATGCTGCATGGACTGCACAGTAAATATGGTAAGAGGTACTTCTACCACCAGTCCTAATTTCTACCTCACTAGTCAGTACAACTTTCCTGGCTATATACTTCACAGTAAACTGCTGCTTATCCCCCCCATAACCATTCTTAATGGTCAGCTACAGCTAGAAACATTGATAAGCTGTTTACCTATATTATTAAATACAGTGTCTAGCACAGTGCAAAATATGTAATTCAGTTAATTAAATGTTTTGAAGGGATTCTTTGTGACACAGAAAAATGTTACACCATAAGTGAAAAGGCAAGATGTACTGTCTATGATATGATCTCTAAATTACATACATTCAGAAATAAACATCAAAACATGTCAGGAGATCCTTAAGAAACTGCCTTTTTGGACCTAAAAGGCTTTTGGAATTTGTTACCACAGTCTAATGGTGGTTTATCTAGAGGTGGTAGAATTACAAATGTATAAATGATTTTATTTTCTATGCTTTTCTCTTACTTCCTAGAATCACATTATTTTACAACCAGAAAAAAACTTAAGCATTAGGGAAGAACATGTTATTGCTGTGAAGACACGCCTGATACAAAAACTGGTATTTTATACACTTTCTCAAAAACAATTGGAGAGATGAGAAGGGTGAAACAAAAGAAAAAATAAAAACTTGACACAAAGTAAGTAATCCTTTTAACACTTGAGAAGGTCATAGAAAGCAAATGTTTCTGATATTTGCACATAAAAATACTCAGCTCCTGGCCCTCCCTGGTGGCGCAGCGGGATAAAGCACAGCACTGAGAATCTAAAGCCACTTCCGCATGAGTTCGATTCCCGCCTGCCCCGGAGGTGACCACATGGCGTGGCAGACCTCTCCTGACCCGCCCACTGCTCCCCTCAGCAGTGTACTTCGTCGATCTGCCTGTTCTGCTTCCCACTCTGTCTCTGGTGAATCCTCTCACCCTCCGCATCTCTGGCCTGTACCCCAGTTCTGTATGAATAAATAAATCTTAAAAAAAACAAAAACTCAGCTCCACAAATACATAAAATTAATTCAAGGCAGTAATAAAATGATCACATGTTGTTTAAAAGTTCTTTTGTACACAGTTTCCATTTCTCCTAGTCAAAAAAGAGTTGGTCTCCCATGCCTATTTAAAGCAAAGCAGACTTACTTCCTTGGTGGTGCCAGGGGTTAAATCACAGCAGTATGAAGCTATCCACAACCTCTGCAGCCTGAGTTCGATCCCCGTGTGCTGCTCCCTTTCAGGAGTGTATTTTGGTGATCTGCCTGTTCTGTTCCCCACTGTCTCTGGTGATTCTCTCACCCCCAACACTTCTGGCCTGTACCCCAGTTCTGATCCCCAGTCAGGGAGTTACCCTGAGTACCCACATGGTACAGCAGAGACCTCTCCTGTCTCACCCACTGCTACCCTCAGCAATGTATTTCAGTCGGTCTGCCTGTTCTGCTCCCCACTGTCTCCAGTGAATCTTCTTATCCCCCACACCTCTGGCTTATACCCCAATTCTTATATGCAAAAATAAACAAATCTTAAAAAAAAAAAAATAAAGCAAAACAGACTAACATGCCATACCTATAGAACTCCTCTTGAATGGTAGTGGAAAGTTGCTGATTAAATTGCTCCAAGTCCACAAAACTCACAACCAATGTGTTTCTCTCAGGACGAATTAGCTCCTCTGCTAATTGCAAATACTTAATTTCTCCATCGCTGTTCTGAAATCTACAGATAAATACACGTCAAATTCAGTGGAAGAATCAGGCAATAAAGAATTTAGGCCCTGCCTGGTTGTGCAAGGGGTTAAAGTGTAGACCTTTTAAAACTGTCAGCAGCCATTGCATTCCCTGCCCTGGAGGTGGAGGTGAAGTGGAGGTGATCACAGCATGGCAGACCTCTCCTGTCCTACCTGCTGTTCCCCTCAGCAGTGTATTTTCTCTCTCTGTCTCTGGTGGATCCTCTCAGCCTCCACACCTCTGGCCTGTGACCCAGTTCTGCATAAATATTATGCATAAATAAACAAATCTTAAAAAAAAAAAGAATACAGATGTCTCATAATACAGATGTCTCACCTTTATTGTGAGATAAGCCCCTCTAAACTTGCCCTCCTTTTGAAAATACTTTTTAAGAGCACTCTTAGTATGGAAGTACATTTCCATCAAAGAGAATCACTACCATGACTTCCAGTGCTTTGCCAAACCCTCAGATAACAGTTTTTATGGCCAACCACCTGTAATTTTATATTGTTGCAGCTTTCACTGTATCCCTGGGAGGTTGCAGCTTTTTCTAAGTTTGCTGTGGCTGAAACAAGGAAGAAAAGGTACTCAGATTTCTATGGCAATTAAGATTCCATGAAAGTTTTTGAGGAGATTAAGAAGGCTAATTTTGATGAAGGAGATGAGGAGTATGCAAAGCAATCTTGAAACATAAAAGGATTTCTTTGGCTTGATTTTCATGGGAGTTTATCACTAACTTGTGTTCCCAAATTATGAAACCTGAATAGCTGTGCTAAGAATTTCTCTTGATATTAAATGCTGTGGACAGATGTTAAAAAAAAAAGAAAATATCAAAAACAAACAGCACAGATTAGGATATTATATCTGATAAGACTGCTGTGAAAATGAGAGAATTCCTGTAAAGTGCTCTGCACAGAGCCCAGAAAAGAAAAATCAGGTTTTTGGATTTTAATTTGAATTTCTTGACTAGTGTATTCTAAGCCACAAGTGCTAATTATTCTTTAACTGTTGTTACATATGATTAAGATTGTATTAAAATGCAAAGATTTAATACTAAAGGGAAAAGTGACAGATAAGTTGGTTTAATAAACAGAATAAAACACAGAAGTTAAGTTCTTCAATGCCCAAGGTCTCAGAAAAATGGAAACATACATATGCACAAAATAAAGATGGTGCAAAGTAAAGGTCAAAGGAAGAAAATTAAAAAAAAAAAAAAAGCTGCTACATATTTTTTCCTCCAAAAAGAGTATCATGTAAAAATTTTTGGTTTTATTGTTTTCACATAATATGCAGAGAGGGTTGCGGTAAAATTGATTCTGCCTCCAAAGACAGCATTACATTAAATTATTTGAACATCTACTGGTAAAACACTATGAGACTGAAAATGACCGTTATTTCTATCCTAAGATTGACACTTTCATAGGACATATTACTACTAAGGACAAGAAATGTCCACTAGCGACTAAAAAAAAAAGTCACCGAACTGTACACTTACACGAATTTTGTTACATGTTTCATCACTATTAAAAAGTCTTTTAGAGGTAACAGAATCCGTAATCTTACAGCAGTGATATATTTGCATTTAGAAAGTAACTAGTGGCAAGGGGATGACAGGATCTGAGATCAGAAGTCAAGAAAAGCGATGAAGCCAAACAAACAGTGGGCGTGTTGGAAGGGAAGGTAAGGATGAAGATACTTTCACAAAGGGCGAGGCTTCCCTGTCCAACTGCAGAGCTCACTCCAGCACCTTTATTTCCACAAGCTGCTAAAGCCCCCGGTGCTTCCAATACCAGGTGGCCCGGTGCAATGAGGACTCTGCCACGATCCGATGTGTGGCTCGCCCAGCCGACGTGTGAACAAACTACTGTTCTTCACCGACCCTCAGTGTGCGCACCAGGATCAATGCCACCGCCAGCCTTATAGGTCCTGAGGCCTGACTGACTGCGGTACAGCGATTAGCACAGGGCACTGGGCAGTCACATTTCAGGAAGGTGCAGGAGACAGGTCTTGCCCCTGGAAGCCAGCCCGTCCCGTCCTAAGATCCTTGAGTGACCGGACTAAGCCCCAATAGGGGCTGTGGGCCCCGCGATACTGATTCCGAGCACACGCCTGCCGGCTCAAGGCAACTGCGGGTCCCGGAAACAGGGAGGGGCGACCCAGGGTAGTTCCGAGAGGAGGGGCGCCCTCCGACTTACTCCTCCAAGAAGTCCAGGAACAGTTTCTGGCACTTCTCGGCCACCTCATCACGGACCTCCTGGTGCTGGCTGCCGACGCCTGGCTCCGCTGCTGCCGCGATATCCATGGCGGTCTAGAGTTGAGAGGCAATAGACGCCCAGCTCGACCGCCACAACTTGCTTCTCCCAGCACGCTACCGCTTTGCGCGCGCCACTGTCGCCCCGCCCCTTTCTCCCCGCGGAGTGTAGAGCCAATCGTGAAGCGGGAGTTCCGGGATTTCGCGCCAAACATGTCCAATGAGCGCGGCTCCTCTCGACGCCCCGCCCATGGAGAGCGGATTTCGCGCCAAGCGCAGAGGCCTCCGGGGGAAAAGCCTGAGCTTGCTAACACCGAACGGCTTGTGGCTGCTTCTACGCCTGCGCAGTATGGCGCGTCGTGGGAAAACTCGTCTTCTGGAACTCTTAGAATGGTGGGATCTTTTAGTGTTTTAAAAAAATATTCTTCGGATCAGTCCGTTACTATGAATTGAACAGAAGTAAGAGTCTATGGGAGAAAGAAAATGAGACCCGTTGCTTGAATCGTTTAATTGGAGAAAAGAAGCTTTAAACCGCGGATAAAACTGAAAGAGCCAAATAAAAGGTATAGACACAGTGCCGATGGTCGGGTTGCGAGGGCAGTTATTCTGACTGATCCTGAGCAGGTATTGCCAGCGAAAATTATAATACTGTTGGTGAATTCCTCTTTTGAAAGCCCTCTTGGCTTGCGTCCTCGTTTTCCTTTCTCAACGCCTTCGCCCCCCTTCCCTGAAATCATTTACTTGGTCTTTCTCCTTATTCTTTGACCTTTCCCGTTTGCCCTCATTGTCTGTTCTCTACTGTAGCGAGGACCTTACATGTTCTGGTTCTGTAGCCCTCTTTTCCCATAAAGGAGTTCTCTTGGGCGACCCCCATCACTCCGTTGGCTTCAGTTAATGTCAGGTGCTGATGACTTCTAAAGGTGTATTACCAATAATACTCTACACCCGGGGGTCTAAGAAGAGTTGGAGAGAAGCCTAGATCACTTCCATCTTTATATTATTTTATTTTAATTAATTTATTTATGCATACAGAATTGGGGTACAAGCCAGAGGTGCAGGGGCGGTGAGAGGATTCACCAGAGACAGAGTGGGGAACAGAACAGGCAGATGGACGAAGGACACTGCTGAGGGGAGCAGCAGGCGAGTCAGGAGAGGTCTGCCAGCCACGTGCACATCTCCAGGGCCGGGGATCGAACTCACACTCAAGCGGTTGAGGCCAGCTTGCAGTGCTACATCCTAACCTTAACCTATTGCGCCACCAGGGAGGGCCTCACTTCCATCTTTTAAGGCTTCCAGAACATTAAAAAATGATTTTTGCCAAACGGGGTGACCTTAGTTAAAACTAATTCTTTCAGTGCACACATACACACACCTCACATTTACTGAGTTCATAAAAAAATAGTCACTGTGAGGGTCATTCCTGGTGGTGCAACTGGTTGTTTTAAACATGAAGCAACAGCTGCTGACCTACCTCTCTAGACTCCCCAGGCCAGAAACCAGCAAGCTAGTAAGATGCAATATTGGCAGATTTAATTGGAAGTTGGAAGGCAACTGCTAGACACAGTGGACACTAGTTATTTAGTAGGCAGTATATATCAAGAATGTTTTGCTTTTCTATCACCTTAAAAAGGAATTTTAGAATTACCATTTTTAATGCAAGTGGATAATTCATTTAGGTCTGGTTCTGAAGGAACCACTAAGTTGGATATATGAAGGCTATGATTAATAACCAGTCAGAGCAGCAGTAAAGCAGTGTGTGTATGGCAGTCTTGCAAACTGGAAATACTAGCTGTCACAAATTGGATCTAGTGACAACCTAAATGCAGGAGTCTGTTAGGGCATAAAGCATATTCTGAGTTATTCTGTTTAAGAAAGCAAACAGTAATCCTTATTATGAACTGCTGCACAATCAATTCTTCTTTGTTAGAACAGCTTTAAAGAACACTCATCCAAAGAGATGTCCCACTGCATGTGTTAAAGAGTAGTTAATGTTAAGTTTCTGTAATAGGTTTTACTGAATTAGAAAGTATTTTGAAGCTCAGCAAATTCTTAGTAGATAAGAATACCATTGTATTACTATTTATATCCTTCACTTTTATTTGAATGTACATATGTATTTGTATGTATACATACAATTTTCTATAAACAGGACATGGTATCCAGGTTTGGGTGCTGGTGGGAAATATGTGGCACTCTCAGGGGAGTATGTTTAAAGAGACTTGTGAAGTAGCTGTAATCAAAGGTTTAGGAAGCTTCAGTGGAGTCCAGAGAGGAATGGTGAAGTATCCTAGAACCAGCAGTTATAGTAAGTTAGTATCACCTCCTGGCCAGAAGGGGCAAAGAGAGGGGCCTGGTCCTGTAGAGATGGAACTGTAATCTTCCTATCAGTAGAAGGGGCCTGGAGAGGAGTGTAGTCATGGTCAAAATGTGGCCAAGCAGAGAAGAAAAATACATTCTTCCCTTTCTTTTCTCCCATCCTCTGATCTCCTGATTGTACCTTCTAATTTCTAAACCTAACGAAGTCCTTGGGAAGGATACCTGGTTGATGTACCTTCCTTAGAAGGTAGCCTTCCAGGGCACACAGCAGAGTGGAAAAAGACAGTGAGTAGGAAGGTCTAGTGGGTAAATAAAGTTCAGGTCACGTGAAGAACTTTCAATGTCAGTAATATACATACATATGGATAGGTTTTGCTTTGCATGGTTCTGATATATGCAATTTTTGTTAACCGCCATTTTGGCGGGCAAAGATGAAAATGCAGCAAAGAAACAAAGTGTAACTCTGTAAGTAAAATTTGAATAGAAAGTTATAGACAGCACAGTATTTTTCCTTTTCTTTCTAGCTTATCTCACTAAGCATGATCTTTTCCATCTCTATTCATGTTGCTGCAAAAGGCATGTGTTTATTTTTTTTGGTTGCTGAGTTATAGACAGGTTAAAGAGCAGCACTGTGAAGCTATCTGCAGCCATTGCAGCACCAGTTCGATCCCCAGTCAGGGAGGAGACCCATATGGTGCAGCAGACCTTTCCCGTCTCACCCGTTGCTCCCCTCAGCAGTGTACTTTGTCAATCTACCTGTTTGCTCCCTACTCGGTCTCTGGTGAATCAACTCACTGCACCTGCATCTCTGGCCTATACCTCAGTTCTTGTATGCACAAACAAATCTTTTTTGTTTTGTTCTGGATTTTCAAACTTGGTAATTTTTTTTAAATAATATTTTATTTTTACATCATTTTGTGCCTTTTTCCATCTCAGTTGCAATCCCCAGATCACCTGTGTGCCGTCACCATAGTCCAGTGCACTTCCCATACCCTCCACCGTTTTTGATCTCACTCATTCCACCCTAATAGAATTTCTCTGGTATATAGTTGCTCATTATTATTATTTTCTCCCTTGGTCCTTTATACTCCTGCTACGAGTGAAATCATCCAGTATTTTTCCTTTTCTTTCTAGCTTACCTCACTAAGCATGATCTTTTTCATTTCTATCCATGTTGCTGCAAAAGGCATGTGTTTATTTTTTTTGGTTGCTGAGTAATATTCTATTGTGTATATGTACCACATCTTTTTAATCCAGTCATCTACTTTCGGGCATTTGGGTTGTTTCTATGTCTTTCCAATTGTAAATAAAGCAGCAATAAATGTGGAAGTGCAGGTGTCTTTTGAAGCAGTGTTTTAAACAAATCTTAAAAAAAATAAATACTCATGGGAGAGTTCATCTTGTCATTTTTGTGTAACTACAGATAAACAGCCAGAGGAAATATGTGAAGATGAACTTCGAAAAGTGGCAGTAACACAAAGAATGAAGATGATCTCAGAGGAATTGACAATAGGAAAAATTTCACATTAAAGAAAGTCTTGGAGATATTTTATGCATTTTAGGTATTAAGGATCAAGTGCTGGAAGCGTATCTGAATCTAGTCAAGAATATGTCACTTTACCAAATCATGGGAGGTTTGGTCACTTAATACTGAAAGTTATACAAGAAGGGAATCATAGTTCAAATTGATATGTATTTTTTTTTTTTAAAGATTTATTTATTTATTCATACAGAACTGGGGTACAGGCCAGAGATGCGGAGGGTGAGAGGATTCACCAGGGACAGAGTGGGGAGCAGAACAGGCAGATCTACAAAGTACACTGCTGAGGGGAGCAGCGGGCGGGTCAGGAGAGGTCTGCCACGCCATGTGGATCTCCTCCGGGGCAGGCAGGGATCGAACTCATGCGGAAGTGGCTTAAGCTTCTTAGTGCAGTGCTTTAACCCGCTGCGCCACCAGGGAGGGCCCAATTGATATGTATTTTTTAATAAATAAAACACTAATTCTCAATGTTTCTAATGTTTCAAATTACATAGTAAATAAATGTTGTTTTACTAGTTCTACTAATAGTACCCTGTACACCTGTAACTAATACTATGAAATTTTTAAGTCTGACAAATTTTAAACGTTTTGAGATGACATTTTCTCTCTTTGACTATTAACATTGCACAGGATATATATGTTCACACTTTGATGTATATTACTAAACTGCTTTCCAGAAAGTCTGGCTGGATGTCAGTTTATACTCCATTATGGCTGGATGTCAGTTTATACTCCATTATGGGTACTTCAAAGTTGTAATTCCCCACACTGTGGTGAACAATAAACACGTTTTATCATTATTTCAGTCTGATAGCTCACTTTTGATTACCAGGGGAGTTGAACATACTTAGGAACTAAGGTTTAAAAAATTATTTGGAAAAAGAGTTCCCTAAAGATATTAACCTTGAAAATGGATAGTTTTATTAACACGATTACCCAGAAAGTGGATAGAGCTAGAGGGACATGATGACATCTTGATCCATGGGAAATAACAGCAGCCAGTCTAAATTTCTGGGCAGTAGTTAAAGAGTCTGGAAGCTCATTTTAGTTACTCCTGGTAGTGTAGAAAAAAAATGGTAAGATGTTACAAACTGGTAGATAGCACCCATAGTAAAATGGGTTGGTTTTAAAGATATACGGGACATACTTTGGCCTTTTTTTTTTTTTTAAGATTTATTTATTAATGCACACATAACTGGGGTACAAGCCAGAGGTTCAGGGGCAGTGGGAGGATTCACCAGAGACAGGAGTGGGGAGCAGGACATGCAGATCAATGAAGTACACTGCTGAGGGGAGCAGCAGGCAAGTTAGGAAAGGTCTGCCGAGCCATGTAGATCACCTATGGGGCAGATGGGAATCGAACTCATGCAGAAGAGGCTAAAGCCTTAGTGCTGTGCCACCAGGGAGGGTCCTACTTTGGCTTTTAACTAAACTTATTTATATACTATCAGATGTAAATATAAAACTCTTGGGTAAATATATTTATCTTTTTAAAAAATATTTACTTTTATTTATGCACACAGAAACTGGGGTGCTGGCCACAGGTGCAGGAGGGTGAGAGGATTCACCATAGTGGGGAGCAGAACAGGCAGATCTTCTGAAACACTGCTGAGGGGAGCAGCACAAGAGATAGGAGGTCTGCTGCGTCATGTGGGCTAGCTCCCTAGCCCAGGATTGAATTCATACCACTGCAGTGGCTGGCATTAGCTTGATAGCTATTAACCACTGTACCGTACCACCAGGGAGGCCCAAATATATTTAGCTTGGAGATATTAAGTTTTACAATTACCCCACCCCGAACTCCTGTAAATTAATCAATTTTTAAGTAATATCAGACACATGCCATGTACCCATAATTATGCTGTGAACATGAGGCTGCAAAGTAGCTCCCGCCCTTAACATTAACAATACATATTCAGTGAATTATTTTATAGGCCAGGATGTGTAAAAGAACTTTCACTTATGTGTCACCTTTAATTCCCACAACTCTGCAAAGTAGGCATCAACACCGTACAGATAAGACTCAGATTTACACAATTGTCAGGTCATAATTTGTTTTCTAAGTCCATATTGCTATACCAACTTTTTTTTTAATTCAGTTGAAAAAACAATGTTAAAGGAATTTGAGAGAAAAATTAGGTGGAAAACCTGGTGGCCCATCATCAATGCAGAATGGCAACAGTTCCATGCTGAGCATCCACATATTATCTGCTCCAGAAGGAAAAGGGCCATTCAGAAGGCCTGTGGTATTTTCCAAAATTCACCTTTTCTTGTCTGTGCTTAGAATAGTACACACACAGTATTCTTGGTGTGTTTTAAATGTATGAAATCTCTTTGGATGTCTACTATACTCGATAGTCTAGTAGAAGATGAAAGAAACATGTAAAAAGTGTGTCTTCAAGAAGCTCATAATCTGGATGGTGAAAGAAATTTATTTTCAAAAACCATGGACAGCATTTGTGATCAAGGTAATGTCCTCCCTTTCTGGCTTTCCCAGTTTATTATTTTCTTCTACTATATGGAACTATCAGCAACATGTTACTTTTTTCTTGCCCATTATCTGTGGTTCACTACAAAATTAATATTACTAACATCAACACATGCAATAATATAGAGAAAGGTATTTCTATTTATAATTCCTTCACAGACATTTATGGATGGAAGAGCATTTTGGTAACATTCACTACTAGTTAAAAATTAAACAAAATTGATGACCCTCCCTGGTGGCGCAGTGGGTTAAAGCACTGCACTAAGAAGCTGAAACCACTTCCGCATGAGTTCGATTCCCACCTGCCCCGGAGGTGACCACATGGTGTGGCAGACCTCTCCTGACCCGACCGCTGCTCCCCTCAGCAGTGTACTTCGTTGATCTGCCTGTTCTGCTCCCCACTCTGTATCTGGTGAAGTCCTTCGCCACCCCTGAGTCTCTGGCCTGTACCCCAGTTCTGTATGCACAAAAAAAAAAAAAAATTAAACAAAATTGCATGGGACTATGATGATGTTACATGGGTGAATTGGTGGTGGTAAATGCACAGGGATTACAATCAACATGAAAAAAATGTACAAAATGAAGAATGATGTTAAAAAAAAAAAGAATGTATTTAAATTAAAAAAAAAATCTGCAACGTTTTTTATATCTATATGAAATACCCAAGCCTCCAGCTTTAAAAGCTCTATGCTTATCCTTCTGAACTTATGTACTGATATAAATAAATATTATACATATATCAGTCTTCATTTGTTTTTAGTTACTTGCATAGCTCAGTTGTGTATTTTCTCCCTCAAAGTATAAAATGAAAGAAATAACAATAAAAATGAAATTACAAAGGCAAATATAATTAGCTTTATAATTTTATTGAAACTCAAGCTAAAATTCAACAATTTAATAAAATATTGAATATTTTCTGACCAGTATTTTCTCATGCTTTACATGATTTCTGGGATTTTTTTAGAATTGACTTTCTGCTTAATTTTTCATGGTATGCCAATTATACAATCATTAAAATCTCAGAGATATTCCTAAAATGTTATTTCAATGTCAGAATTTTATAAAATAAGATTAAATATCGAGAAATTTAAAACATTTATTAGTATTATGGCCATTTTTCACAGTGGTTATGAAAAGAAAACTATACAACCATAACTTCAAAATTGTTGACATTTATTGTAGTCATACAATATGAATTTTTAACATGAATTATTCATTAAAACGTTCAACTATTTCCTACAGAAGCATGTCCCAGGTTATAAAAATCTTGTTTTAAAGTAGTCTGTACTGAATTAATCCAGAATTATGGCACTTCAGAGAAGACATTTATTCTATTGCATATTTTAAGTACTTAAGGTACAGCCCGGTCAATAGCAGATTACTGGGAAGACTAAAAAAAAATCACGGCTTTCTTTAAGGAGTAAGTCGTTTTGGATCACGGGGAAACATCGAGGTTTGACGAACATTGTGCAATCCCAAAAACAGCATTGTTACTCGTTCCAATCCTGGAGAAAACAATGTAAGTATTAATTCCTTTTCAGAAAATTTCTCAAGGTCTTACTGAAAACTACCATAAGATATGACTGATAAAATACTCTTCTTTTTGGGGAACAAAAATGACTCCTGTGATTTTGAGTTTATTTTGGGTTGATTTCAGAAATACAGATGATGCTGTAGAGTAAGAAAAATAAATAAGATATCCTTAATTGTATGAATTCTGTGAAATGTGAATTATAAATCTGTGTAACTAAAACTTAGGACTTAATTAAAAAATAATTTATAATCCTGTGGTTTCAAATGAGACCAGATTCTAGTTATGTAGTCCAGGCCATCAGAGTGAGAGCCATAAACTTACTCAAGGAAGTTTACTAAGAATGAAATTTCTGGCAATTTATTGTAATTCAATAGACATATATAACATGGTGGTTTGTTGTTAGTATGAAAGACTAGACACTGATTTTTATATGACGTATATTACTGACAAAAAAGAAAGCCAAGAACTCTTTAAAATACAGAATAGAATTAGCAAGTAAAATTTTGTGTGTGCAATTTAATATATATATTTTAGTAAAGTTGTAGAAGACTAATATATCAACAAAGCAAGGTTAAAGAAAATTTTAATACAGGAACTTTTAATTTTAAAGGAATATGTTACTTCTAAGAAAAAATACAAAAGAATCAATATTTTTATTGCTATTACTTACCAAAAACATATACAGATGTAGATTTGAACTTTGTATTTTAGTAACCTAACACTAATCTAAAAAGCCAACTACATATCCCATTTTACTCTCAAATGTTTGCTATGAAAAAAAGGTAAAAGTTAAAATACATATTGTCAATCAACATGAAAGTTTGTAAAAACTGCACCTTATTGAAAACGTTAAGATAAAAATCTTACCTTTCCCATTAAAACTTAAACAGAAGCTGATTAATAAGATTATGGCATATGCTTTTCAAGACATTCTATGCAGTGGTAAAAGAATATAAAAACTAGGTATTGATAATGAATTACAAAATATAGAAAGTGAGCAATACAAGGAGCTGATAGTTTATATTGTATGCTATAATTTGTGTAAAAAATATTTTTACAGTGTGTAATTTTGTATGTGCAACATCTTTGTAATGTAAAAAAAAATAGAAAATCTAGTTTTCTGTAAAGAAGTGAATGCAAACAGTTCTATACCCTTTTTTTCTATACCCTTTTAAGTTTAATTTTTAAAAGGAGTTAACCTATTCCACACAAACCTAAACCAAACAAAAAACTTTAATGAAACTATACATTCAGAATTCTTTTTAGGAGTCTTTGATAAGGACATTCTAAACTTCTTAGTATTTTACATATATTCTGGAGGTTGTCCTAAACATCAACAAAATGTTATATTAAAAAAAAAATTAGCTACAATCTGAGTTACTTGAGGGAAATCTTTAATTTGAGTGAGTTTATTCACTGTAATCTGAACTCATAAATTCAGGGAAAAAATAGGAGACTCAAATTATAAGATGCTTTTTTAAGAGAAAAAGACCTTTATTGTAACATGATTTTAGAATAGCCAAGTTCACTTTTCATTTTGTTTCCTAGAAACCAAATTTTCATTTCAATGTAACTAAAAAAAATTATTTTTAGGGGTCTCCCAGGTGCCCAGGTTATCTAGGTTAAGTCTCAGTGCTATCATTATAAGGCCTGAGATTGGTCCTTCTAAGGAGCTAACCCACACATGGAGCAGCCAAGTCTTCTCTTGTCTCATGTGTCACCAGCTGCTTGCCTTAGCAGTTACTTCAGTAAATCCACTGTTTCTCATGAATTCTCACCCGCCGTACCTATGGCCTACACCCCAGTTCTTATACACAATAAGTAAATAAATCTTTTAAAAGTAAAAAAAAGAAAAAAAAATTCTTGTAATTCAGTTTCTCTAATACTTAGGACTTATAAACTTTTGTATATAAGCAATAACAATGTCCAAAATTTTGATGCTAACTCTAAAAAAATTTAGTTAACACCGAATGAGCATGTTAAAAATGAAATATGGTTGGAAATATTAGTTATAATATTAAAGAAATATTACCAATGCCTCCACCAGCATGAGGAGGGGCTCCAAAGCGAAAGGAATCGATATATGCTTTAATTTTCTCCAAATCTACAAAAAATAAAAAAATATTAAAAAACCAAACATAATTTATTATTTTATTTAGCCAAAAGTACAAAAGCGATTATTGTTTAATAAAGTTGAAATCAAAATTTCTGGGAAGTCTTTAGAAAGTGTTATTTTCTAATTTGAAAAGATATACTCACTTGTTTGCTCACTGCAGCAATAACCAAGATAAGGAAGCAATCTAAGTGCTCAACAATGGATTATTGGATAAAGAAAGATGTGGCATATGGACTTCTACTCAGCTTAAAAAAAAAAAGATGAAATCTTGCCACTAGACAACATGGATAAAATTGGTGGGAATTATGCTAAATTTAATAGATCAGTGAGAGAAAGACAAGTATCAGATACCTTCAGTCATAAGTGGAGTATGGGATAAAACCAAACCAGAAGAAATCCTTGGACTACAGAACTGAGACTATAAGGCAGGAGGTGAGTAAAGGTGGGTTTCATCTGAGGGAGCAAGTGGTGGATGGTGCGGCTGTGGTGGATGATTGTTGGTACTTTGGTGAGGGATATAGTATGGTAATAAACACTGGAAGAGTTGTGAATTATAATACTAAAACAGTGGAGTAAATCAACATTACCTCAAAAAAAAAAAAACACAAAAGTTATTTTCGGAACATACATTACCCTCTGAAATATATTTAATTACTTACCAATGCCATGATGTAAAGCTCTTTCTGTTAGCAGCTGGGGATCATGTATTCTTTGAGCTCCTGATAGTATTTCTTCTCCTCTCATGAACATATCATAAGAGTTAGACTCTTTCTGCAAGGAAAACAAAAAACACACTTCAAGTGGCTATTATTCTATTTCTATTAGGCATGTGGAAAAACAACTTACATTAAGACTAAGTCCTTTTTTTTCTTACCATTAATATTGAAACCTGCTTCAATAATGTGTTTATCTAAAACAGGGTTAAGCTGATAAGCACTTAATAATACATTCTATCACATTTTGTGTCCCCCCTTATTCCATACCTCACAATGACAAATCAGAGCACTGTATCTGGCTTTTTAAGTTCTTACCTAACTTTATAATCTGAAATATTTTAAACTGATATTTTTGGGGTCACTTTTAGAACTTCAAATTATCAACAAGTGTTAGTTTTTAAAAGTTCTTTTTTATTTTAAGGAAAATAAATCAAACATCAATTTCGGGACGAAACATTTACAACAGCTTAACATCCCCTATCATGTTTTAATTAACGTTTCCTATCTATCAATAAGCCAATGGTTCTTAAACTTTTATACCTGGAGCAGTAGCCTCAGTATTTACCTGGAACTTGTTAAAAATGCAAATTATCAAGCCCTAGCAAGACCAAGTGATCTGATTGATGAAACCTAGCAAATCCTATAGGTGATTCTAATATACTAAAGTTTGGGGACCATCACAATGAAAAACAAAGGTCACAAGACATTATTTAGAATAAACTGTTATAATGATTGGTTGATGTCTGCCATGTAAAGGAATATTTATGTTACTTCTTCCTCATAAATCTTTAAAAAAAAAAAAGCCCATAAAAATTAAATTTAATATAAGGTCATAGATTAATTACTAGGATAGTCCAACTTCACAATACCATTCTGACTTGAACTGAGAAACTAGTAGTAAAACAAAAATGATATATACATAGAAGCCAAAATTACTAATGAAAACCATTATTCCCATTGTACAATTTAACTATAACACAAGTTAGAATGATTACTTACAGGATTTCTTGGATCAGGCATGGTATAGAAAGGTCTTACAGCCAAAGGATATTTATCAAGAATATAGAAATCTGTATCATACTAGAAAGAGAATATGTACAATTAACAGAGATTTCCAAAAACTTTAGTGAAAATAAAAAGGAAGCTAACATACTGGTAATTAACTGTTTTTATATGTAAGTTGTATTCTTCAAAATTACTGCAATTACACTGAGTATATACTATAAGAACTCTTACTTAAGTTACATTTATATCTTTAACTATTTTGCCATGTTATAAATTCTCCCAATCCTTGATTTTTTTAGCTGTTGATTATGAAATCATAGTAAAAATATTCATCTTCCTTTGGACAAGTATCTGGGACCCTCCTTGGTGGCACGGGGTTAAGCCTTAGTGTTATCACCACAAAGGCCTGAGTTTGATCCATCCAGGGAGCTAACCCACTATGATGCAGCTGACCTCTCCTGTCTTGCTGGCTGCTCCCCTTAGCAGTGTGTTTCAGTAAATCCACTGTTACCTGCTTTGTGTCTGGTCAATTCTCACCCCCTGCACCTCTGGCCTACACCAAATTTCTTCTATTAAAAAACAAAAACAACTATAATTGAAAGGCATAAACAATATTAAAATAGTACTTGATATATGACCTGGACTTAAAAAGAAATCAATTACATTTCAACTGCTTGGATGTTAATAATTTTTGGTATAAAACTAGAAAATAGAAGGAATGTTATCAGCTGACACAACATTACAGGGTCAACTCAATGTGAGGTTTCAAAAATATGCCTGTTTTCAACCCATTAATAGTTTTATGTGCAACCAGCAGGAGTTCAAAGACTGTATTCATTTCACTACACAGTTCTCTTATTTTTTTGAAGACCACACTAAGTTTAGCTTTCATTTCCTTTGTAATTTTATAAAATGAGATAGGAAAGTAGTTTTCACATAAGAGGCAGAAAGGAAAGATTCATTTTCAAGATTCAAGCCTGACAGTAGGGGTACACAGGAAAGACTGTTTCTAAATAATTTCTTCTTATCTGAAGTCTAGTAACAGGGAGGTCCCAAGAAAAGGGGAAGTTTCAGGTTCCCTACCCCACTCAAAGGAGGGTGGAGCTGAGTAGAGAAGAATCTGAAGAGGAAGGATGCAGGATAGAGGAGAACTGAAGAAAACACATGGAACAGAGACATGTGAAGAAGTAACTATTGTTTTTGGCCATGGACTGGATGAAAACAGACGTGGGTGGGAGACCCAAGTGGAGGTTAACTGTGGCAACATTTAACTTGATTTTGATTTTGCTCTTTTCCTCTTAAGACTTGTCTGGCCATTTCTGACCCTTTTCTATGGGTACTCGCTGGAAGGTGCTTTAGACTTAACAGTGGGCTTTCAGACCTTGCTTTGGGCCAATCCCTTTTGGGTAGACTTTTACCCACGAGGGGATGAGTAGCTTTGGGTGTGTGACTATATTGTTTGTCTTTTCTGTATTGCACACTAATTTTGTTGAAGTTCCTTTCCATTAAAGGTTTATATGTTTTGATGCGGCGGATAACAGAACCTAGTTAGAGTGGGCAGGTTTGGGGGTACAGGGGTGCCCCTCTCATTGCCCTGTAATACTTCTAAACAATCTAACTACACTGCACTTTTAGAGATATCTCAGTACATTTTAGTACAAAATTCAAGTATCAAGTTGCTAAAACAGGCAATGCCTGTTTGAGTATTTCCTTAAGGTTTTTTTTATTGCTGCTGTTGATAATGTATTCCTTGGTTTCTATTTATTCTGGAATCATATCATTCTAGGAAGATCATTTCCCACTGCAACTTTTTTGTAGTACCAGGATTATATTTCATATTGAAAGAGAGAAGTCACGTATGTACAAGAGTCCTACCTTTTCTTTCACCAAGCGTCCCAACAGTTTTTCATTTGGTGTACTAAAAAATAAATGAAATCAGATGTTTGAAGATCAAATTGTAACTTAAAAGAGATTTAGGCTAATGAGGCGCCTTTTCTATTTGAAGTTCTCAAAAGGTAAAAATTAGCAAAAATGTGAAGTTGTCTATCCTGCTCCCTTTTTAAAAATAACTACTGAAAATCACTTATGAATGTGCCTGGTACAGTGATTAAATATTTAGTAGGTTCTGTTCAATACTTACTTAATAAAACTATAAATAGTAATTCGTAGTCAAAAATAATGTGGATGAAACAATTTCTTACAATTATGTATAATAAAAAGGTCACTATACAAACAAGCTATTCTTAGTTCCAGTTCAAAATGGCCTCTCCTTTTGTTTATTTTTTAATCAAAGGTTTACAAAACTAAATTAAATATTTTTAAGTCTTTACAAAATTCTTAGTGCCAAAAGTTGCTATTGGCTTCTATCCTATTTCCAAATAATTAAAACATTCCCAACTTTAAGGTTCTTTAAAATGTCATCAAGCAATGTAGAGAGTACTTGATATTTAACAATGTGTATCTTTTTGTTAAACAAAAATCAACAAAGGATTTTGAATTGTCCTTAAAAATGACAATAATCTGGGCCCTCCCTGGTGGTGCAGCGGGTTAAAGCACAGCACTGAGAAGCTAAAGCCACTTCTGCATGAGTTTGATCCCCGCCTGCCCCAGAGGTAACCACATGGCGTGGCAGACCTCTCCTGACCCTCCCGCTGCTCCCCTCAGCAGTGTACTTCATCCATCTGCCTGTTCTGTTCCCCACTCTGTCTCTGGTGAAGCCTTTCACCGCCCCTGAGCCTGTACCCCAGGTCTGTATGCACAAATAAATAAATCTTAAAAAAAAAAAAAAAATGACAATAATCACTCCTATTCCTACCTACAACATCCATTGTTATAATAATGGCTTATCTATCTGTCTATCATAGTTTATTTTTATATCATTTTGTGCCTTTTTCCATCTCAGCTGTAAACCCTGTGGGCTTCCCATCACCAGATCACCCGTGTGCCATCACCATAGTCCACTGCACTTCCCTCCCCCACAGTTTTGATCCCATTCCACCCCTGTAAAATGTCACTGATATACAGTTGCTTATTATTATTTTCTCCTCTGGTCCTTTATACTCCTGCTATGAGTGAAATCATCCAGTATTTTTCCTTTTCTTTCTGGCTTATTTCACTAAGCATGATTTTTTCCAGCTCTAATCATGTTGCTGCAAAAAGCATGTGTTTTTTTTTGGTTGCTGAGTAATATTCAATTGTGTATAAATACCACATCTTTTTAATGCAGTCATCTACTTTTGGACATTTGGGTTGTTTCCATGTCTTTCCAGTTGTAAATAAAGCAGCAATAAACAATAAAATAAAGCAGCAACAAACATGGGGGTGCAGGTGTCTTTTTGAATCATGGGGGTGCAGGTGTCTTTTTGAATCAGTGTTTTTGTGTTTCTTGGGTAGAGACCTAGCAGTGGATTGTTGGGTCATACTGAAGCTCCATGTTTAGCAGTTTGAGAAACCTCCAAACAGTTTTCCATAGTGGTTGTACTAGTTTGCATTCCCACCAGTAGTGCAGGAGAGTTTCTTTCTCTCCACATCCTCACCAACATTTGTTACTGCTAGTTGATTTAAGATGTGCTATTCTCACTGGTGTGAGGTGGTATCTCCTAGTGGTTTTAATTTGCATCTCCTTTATTATAAGTGATGTTGATTCAACATTTTTCATATGCTTGTTGGCATTCTGCATTTCCACTCTAGAGAAGTATCTTTTTAGCTCTTCTGCCCATTTTCTGATTAGGTTGTTTATTTTTGTTGAGTTTCATCAGTTCTTTGTGTATCTTTGTGATCAATCCTTTATTGCTAGTTTTGTGTGAGAAAATATTTTCCCAATCAGTGAGATGGTTTTTTTGTTTTTTGTAATGTCTCTTTTGCTGTACAGAAGCTCTTTAACTTGATATAGTCCATCTAAGGTATTTATTTATTTTCTTAAAAAAAGATTTATTTATGCATATAGAACTGGGTACAGGCCAGAGGTTCAGGGGCGATGAGAGGATTCACCAGAGATAGTGGGAAGCAGAACAGGCAGACTGACAAAGCACACTGATAAGGGGAGCAGCAGGCCGGGCAGGAGAGGTCTGCCATGCCATGTGGTTCACCTCCCTGGCAGGGGATCGAACTTGTGCTATAGTGACTGAGGATAGATTCATAGTGCTTCAGTTTAACCTGTTGCACCACCAGGGAGGGCCCGATAGCTTATGTATTTAAATTCAAAATGCTTGAGGGCATTCCCTGGTGGCACAACAGGTTAAACTGAAGCACTATGAATCTATCCTCAGCCACTCTATAGGAGTTTGATTCTCTGCCAGGGAAGTGGCCCATACAGTGGCCCTCTCCTATCTTGCCTGCTGCTCCCCTCAGCAGTGTTTTTCGGTTTATGTGCCTGTTCTGTTCCCTACCCTGTTTTCCTGTGAATCCTTCTCGCTCCCATACCTCTGGCTTGTACCCCAGTTTTCTATGCATTAAGTAAACAAATCTTAAAAAAACAATACATTAAAAACACAAAAACATAACATTCTATTTTAGACTATATGTTAAACACTGTCATATTACCTATTATATAAAACTAAGGTTTGTCAGCTGGGTGGAAAAAAGTCATTTATTAACAATATTCATCCTTTCATATTTTAAACTTAATTATTAAAGTTTTCAAAAATCATAAAGACAAACCTGAGATCTTCTTCATCTCCCATTTCAATTCCAGCTTCCCTAAGCATTGCCAATGCTTCACAATACTCTAGTCTTAATGTTGGCTCCAAAAATTTGAATGGTTCACATGGGAACTGTTTATTCACCGTCTGAACTTCAGTTTGAAACCTAGTATAACAATAATTTGGGTAATAAAAATGTGAGGTAAATGTTTCCCCCCACAAGAGGTCGCTATGACAATATATAAAATCACTTCTTCACTCAAGTGTATTCATCAAAAAAAAAGTGTTATCAAGAAATTTAGTTAAAGAATGAAATTTAAGGGGCCTCTGTGATGGCACAGAGATTAAAGTTTCAGCACTACCAAGCTATCTCTAGCCACTGTGGCATGAGTTAAGATTCCCAGTCAGGGAGCTGACTACCCACACATGGCAGAGCAGACTGCTCCTAGCTCATCTGCTGCTCCCCTCAGCAGTGTATGTCAGTAGAATGCCAGTTCTGTTCCCCAGTGTCTCTGGTGAGTCCTCTCACTCCTAACTCTGGCCTATACCCTAGTTCTTGTATGCATAAATAAGTAAAAATAAATCTTTAAAAAGAATGAAATTTAAGAACTTAATTTTTTTAAAGACATTTTATTTATTTATGCATACAAAAGCTGGGGTGTAGGCAACAGAGCGGGGAGGAGAGGAGAAGGGTTAGAGGAGGGGGCTGAAAGGATTCCCCAGAGACAAAGTGGGGAGCAGAACAGGAGGACTGACTGAGATACACTGACAAAGGGAGCAGCAAGTGAGACAGGAGAGCTGTACCATGTGTGACATCTCCCAGGACGGAGATCACCTCAAGATGCAGTGACTGCTGATAGCTTCATAGTGCTGAGACTTAACCCCAAAATTTAAAGTATACCATTTCTCAGTTTCATGTTGTTTGTCACCACAGTGCATTAAAGAATTAAGTTTATAATTTCTATCAGATAATTAGAAAAATGAAAATATCTACTTTGTGAGACATTAAAAAATGACTTTTTTAATCCTTTAACAACACTTGTTAGCATCAAAACCAAATTAATGAATACTTTTTTAAATCTTCCTCCATTCTTATTACACTATTTATGAGTGCCAATTTCTTTCCCATCTGAATAATTTGTTACAATAGTGTCTATCCTCTAAACATAGGTACAAGACAAATGTTTACTGCAGAGAACTGCTATGATTTCATTATGATTAAGAAAATATATTTTTGTTAAAGTATTTATGGAGGAAATGACTGCTAGGATATTTTTCTCAAAATAATAGGGGATTGGACCCTCCCTGGTGGCACAGCGGGTTAAAGCACAGCACAAAGAAGCTTAAGCCACTTTCGCATGAGTTCGATTCCCGCCTGCCCCAGAGGCGACCACATGGCATGGCAGAGCTCTCCTGACCCACCCACTGCTCCCCTCAGCAGTGTACTTCGTTGATCTGCCTGTTCTGCTTCCTGCTCTGTCTCTGGTGAATCCTCTCACCCTCCTCATCTCTGGCCTGTACCCCAGTTCTGTACGAATAAATAAATAAATCTTAAAAAAAAAATAATAGGGGATTGACAAAATGAGTAAAACAAAATTAACATGATTTCCCATAGCTGAAATTGGGGGACAACTATCCTGAGGAGAGGAAGGTTCATTAGACTAGTTTCCTTTTTTATGTGCTATGAAATTTTCCATAATTAACAGAACTGGAGAAAATGTGTATATCACATGAAAACAACAAGAGATTAAAATACTACCACTTCCTGACTGTTCTTAAAAACTGAAAACAATAAATAAAGGATAGTCATTGATTACTCAAATCTTGACATCAAAAGTGCTAAGAAGACAGCCTGAATGTGCCTGATTTTATCTGAAATATTTTAGGGGACAAAAAGTTTTTTTTTAAAAGGCTGTCTAAAAGGAACTAGTCATCAAAGGTACAATGAATGCCTGGGAAAAAATGGGTGCTATGCTACAGTATTTTTATAACATCAATGAGTAATATCTGTGTTCTTAAAATTACTCACTAGATTTGTGGAGTAAGAAAGATCCATAATACTTCTGAGCTCTTTTAAGTATCAAAAAAACATATTCTACCACATCAACAACTAAGCTGAATTAACGTTCTTAAAATTTTCAAATATAATCCTCAGTTATGAAAATGCTAGATAAGTGTATTATAATCTAGTTATTGTTTGAAAAACAGTCACAAATATGGAAAAAGGGATCTCTTGATTGTACCTGCTTTCCATTTTATTTTCCTACTTCCTGGTTTAAACATCCTAAGAACTTTGAATGATCTTTAAGGGAGAAACTATTGGCCAGTTTAAAGTGTATATAAAGTGAATATTTTATATAGTGTAATTTTCTGAACATCTAGAACATGTCTAATATTCTGTAAATGCTCTCAATATACCAGTTTAATCTTTGCTTATAATTTGATCTAAGAATTAACCATTCCTGACACAGGCTTAATATACACAGACAGATCCAACAGATTAGAAAATAGTAGACTGAAGGGACATTTTAACCTCTGAGGTGAATAATAATTATTATCCTCAAATATAACAGCTCAGGAAACTGAGGCAGTTAAATAACTTGCAGAAGGTTAACACAGTTGTGTAGCATTGCTGGGATTAAACTCAAGTTACCGGAATCCAAATTCTTAAACACTACCCCATATTAAATCCTAAATAATCTGCTAGAAAGCAACATATATTGTTTCCTGAGATATTCAGGATGTCAGCATAAAGGAAAAAACAAATATAGGCAAGCTGTTTGCAATCTGATAAACTACCACCAAGACACTGCATATTTATAAATCACACACCTATATATATATATATATACACACCGTCAATGAAAAACTTTATGTGTTTCAATTTAAGAATTCTTTATTTTAAAGATATGTACCTTTTTTGAAGTCCTTTAAATATCTGCACCAAAGTGTCAGCAATTTCTTCTACAACTTCATGGTAATGGTAATTAAAAGCCATTTCAATGTCCAAGCCAACAAATTCAGTCAGATGTCTGTGGGTATTTGAGTCTTCAGCTCTGAAAACTATAAATTCATAATAAATGCCGGTGTTTTTAATTTTGGAGAAGAGGGGATTAAACACAAAATTGTATGTACTAGAATTTAAATGACACCATTTTCTTATCGTTACAGTGTTCAAAATACCTTTTCCAAAGTCATTATTTGAGCTTTTTTAGATGGCAAATTCATTACAAACTCTTACAGTCAGGTAGTAGAAGCTGTAACAAATGCGAATTAATAAATGAGACTCATTGAACCCCAAAGGAATGTAAAACCCTAAAGTGCCTTTTCAATAATTAAAAATAGATTCAAAGTAGTGAGTTCCCCATTTTATTAAAATTTGACTTAAGCTAAGTGAAATCTGTACAAATGAAGGAACATTATGCATACATTCCAGCCATTACCTCAGCACAGCTCTTATTATCTTCACTGCACTTTCTTCCTTTCCAGGTTTCCTGACTATAGCTCTGCTCCAACTTTCACATTGCTACGAGATTAATATTCCTATAACACATCCTTGCTTGGTAACTCACAAAGGTTCCCAAAAGACTACTATAATAAAACCTAAGATAATCAAAAGTCTAAAATCTTTACGCTTTTATAATTTAATCCTACTCTATATTTTCCATTTCTTCTTAATACTAGTCTGTTTTTATTTTCTTCAAAAATCCTCCATGCTTTTTATTCATTTTGTTCCCTATGACTGAAATGTTACCTCTGCTTGTATCTCCTACACTGTACCTAAAGCCTTTTCAGTCTGAATTTTCCTTCATGGTAATTCTAGTAAACTCATTCTTTTCTCTTTTACACTACCTATACTATACAAACACCACCAATCTGTGAACTGTAAAGCAGAAAGTGATTATTTGTTAGGAAAATCAATTGATTGAGCTATGTAACTGCTATATGTATACATATCTTTTTTTTTTTAAGATTTATTTATTTATTCATACAGAACAGGGTACAGACCAGAGGTGCAGGGGGATGAGAGGATTCACCAGAGGCAGAGTGGGGAGCAGAACAGGCAGAGCAATGAAGTAAACTGCTGAGTGGAGCACATGGTGTGACAGGAGAGGTCTGCTATGCCATGTGGGTCACCTCCCTGCCTGGGGATCTAACTTGTGCTGTAATGGCTATGGCTAGCTTCCCAGTGCTGCGCTTTAACCTTTTGTGCCACCAGGGAGGGCCCTGTATACATGTCTTAATTTTTCTTGGGGCAGGGACAATGTTTATCCTCTTGTCACTTGAGGAATGAATTGCAAATCCCATCTGCAGTACCAGGGAGTTTGTGAGACCTATAGAATCTTAAACCTAACCCCAGATTTACTGGTATTTTAACAAGATTCTAAGATGATTAATGTGTACATTAAATTTTAGAAGTGCCAGTTGAGTTTTCCATTATGTACATGGTATCCAGTGTTAAGGTTATGTATGCATCAGGTATTCAACAAGTAACTAAATCAGAAAATTAGAGAGAGAACAGATGAACTAAGTAAAACAAAAAGGAACTTTTAGGCTGTTCTGATCAATTAGTGGTCGCAGAAAGGAAAGGGGAAAATCAAAGAATAGGAGACAGCTATATAGTGAAAGGTAAAACTGGACTTGTAGTGATTAAATAAATGCAATATATATACATGTTGACTTTTAGTGATGCATACTTGAATCATAAATAATGTCAGAATGCAATTTATTTCAATAAAAAATTCAGGGAATTAAAATGTTAAATGACTTTGTCAGCTTCTTTGTTACCAAGTATTTAAATGTTATCAAGCTATCAAAAACTTACATTTATAGTTTAAGTAGTAAAGAATGAATTAAAACTGTTTTTTGTCTATAATTATCTTCTAAAAAAGTCTGCCTCATTACTATGTATTTGATTGTTAGCAAACATATCTTAATCTATTAAATATCAGATATTTTAATAATTTTTTAAATATTTAATTTATTTGTATATATTTTATATCAGGTGCAGTCCCCACAAAATTCCCACCACCAATTCACTGTGTACCATCATCCCCTTAGTCCCTTGTGCTCTTCCTACCCTTGTTTAGTAATTTTTAATGGATTTAGCATATCATCAATATGGAGAACAGTACAAATAGTAAAACAATAGTTTTGAAATAAAGTTGGTAGCAAAATATACAGGGGTATATATATTTGTAAATTTACAACAGTAGGGTCCTCCTGGGTGGCCCAGCAGGTTAAAGCACTGCACTAAGAAGCTTAAGCCAATTCGGCATGAGCATGAGTTCCATCCCTGCCTGCCCCGGGGAGATCCACAAGGGGGTGGGGGCATCCACATGGCGTGGCAGACCTCTCCTGACCCACCTGCTGCTCCCCTCAGCAGTGTACTTCAATGATCTGACTGTTCTGCTTCCCACTCTTGTCTCTGGTGACTCCTCTCACAGCCCTTGCACCTCAGCCTGTACTCCAGTTCTGTATGCACAAATAAATAAATCTTTAAAAAAAAAATTTACAATAGTAGTTAAATGTCCATAAAGGACAACAAAAAATATTATTTGAAAGACTATTAACTACCTTTTCTTTAGTGTTTGTGGAGAGGTGTCCTAGTTATACTTAAGTATAATAAATAATGTATTTCAGAGGCTATATATTCCAAAGCATATTTTTTTTTAAAGATTTTATTTATTTATTCATACAGAACTGGGGTACAGGCCAGAGATACGGAGGGTGAGAGGGTTCAGCAGAGACAGAGTAGGGAGCAGAACAGGCATATCTAGGAAGTACACTGCTGAGGGGAGCAGCGGGGGGGTCAGGAGAGGTCTACCACACCATGTGGTCACCTCTAGGGCAGGAGAGGATTGAACTCATGTGGAAGTGGCTTTAGCTTCCCAGTGCTGTGCTTCAACCCGCTGCGCCACCAGGGAGGGCCTCAAAGCATATTTTTAAAATGAAATAGTTCCAAGGTAAAAATTTCTTCTGCATTCCTCTGCAGGAATATAAATTAATGAACACAGTGTTTAAAGAATTACTGAGCCAGGTTTTCTTACTTTTGGAAATGTCCACTCAAGTACATTGCTTTTCTCTCAAAATCTATTGTTTATATAATGACCAAATAAAAGAATTTAAGTTTCAAAATATCTGTTGTTTCTAAATGTGTTTCTAAAGCATAACCATGGTCCAATGAATGATTTTTGAGAAATCTGTTAACTGCGGAAACCTTACCTGGTCCAATGCAGAAGACTTTCTCAAAATCGGCACAAATGCACATTTGCTTATATAGCTGTGGGGACTGAGCCAGGTATGCATTATTTTTAAAATATGACACAGTAAATACATTGGCTCCTCCTTCACTGGCAGCTAAAACGTAAATATAATTATTGTAAGGTTATCATGTAAACTTGTAAAAACAGTTTATACTTTTGATTCAAGTAGTTCATTAAAAAAAGAAACTGGGAAATAAAAAATTGCAAATAAACCATAGTCTATGTAAGTCTTATACCTGAGTCTAAATGTTTTAAAGATTTATTTCTTTGTTTTACTTCTTTGGATATAAACACTCCCTTTCTGCAATAGATTTTGCCGTTGTAAAAACTTTTTTAAAAAGGAAAAAAGATAGTCTTATTTTTCTAATTACAGGAATTAAATGTTCACTTTTTAATTTATAACTAAATGTCATTTATAACATGTAATTTAATACAGTTTAAGCAACTTTAAAAAAGTAAATTGGTTAAGTTTCTCATGTAAGAATGAACATTAATGACATTTTTTCATCTAGAGTATTTAACAATTTTATAATGCAGTTTATACAAAACAAAACAGCAATACAATTTAGAAACCTACATAATGAAAGTAATTTCCAGCATAACTTATAAAAAAAAACAATCTTGCTTTGTGTGTTACTACCTCATTTTATAATTATCACACAAAACTCCTGAAATAAAGGAGATATAGCTAACTAACGTTAGTGACACATGACTACTACTGTGTAGCACTGGCTTCAAAATCCTACCATGGCAAAAAATGTTAAGGCATACTTTTTAGAACTTTCCAATTGCAAAAATATTTAAAAACTGAGAAGGTGAAATTATTTTTAATTATTAAAAGACATATTTAACTGCATACCTGAGATAATTTTAGGAGTTTGGATCTCCACAAAACCCTTGTTAATTAAAGTTTCTCGGAAAAGATGGCAGATGCCAGACTGCAGACGAAAGATTGCCTGACTAGTTGAAGTCTGTAAGACAATAACAGAATCTAATTAAATCAATCTGACATGAACAGAGAATGGAGTATTTTCTAATCAGGATGCCCACTTGCAAAGTTCATAGAGAAAACAATTCATTACAATTCATTGTGAGAGAAAGGTTAGGCTACACAACAATCAGTAGAAGGCGATATCTTGGAATTTTTCAAATTATGGAATGATAATTTTGCTTTTTTTGATTTTTTTAAAAAGATTTATTTATTTATTCATACAGAACTGGGAGACAGGCCAGAGTTGCAGGGGCAGTGAGAGGATTCACCAGAGACAGAAGGGGGGCAGCAACGAAGCACATTGCTGAGGGGAGCAGCGGGCGGGTCAGGAGAGGTCTGCCGCGCCATGTGGTCACCTCTGGGTCAGGCAGGGATCGAACTCATGCAGAAATGGCTTTTGATTCTTAGTGCTGTGCTTTAACCTGCTGCGCCACCAGGGAGGGCCAATTTTGCTTTTTTTAAAAAAGATTTTATTTATGCATACAGAACTGGGGTTAAGGGGTGGTGAGAGGGTTCACCAGAGATAGAGTGGGGAGCAGAACAGGCAGGCTGATGTATTCTGCTGAGGGGAGAAGCAGGTGGACCAGTAAAGACTCTGCAACACCATGTATGTCACTTCTGCCATGTGCATGTCACCTCTGGGACTGGGGATCAAACTTGCAATGAAGCGGCTGTGGCTGGCTTGCAGTGCTGTGCTTAACCCAATGTGCCACCAGGGAGGGCCCTTGCTCTTTATTTCTAACATTTCCTACTTTTGACTTTGCTAAGCTGAAAGAACTGGCCTGGGGTTAAATTAGTATATGTGCTGCCAAAGCTAGCATGGTGTATATTAAATTAAGCGGGTTTAACTTAAAGATTTTAATTTACTGATATATATAATGCTTATCAAAATGTAAAGTCAAAGGATCAAAATGCAAAAACTTGGCTGCTGTTCCCCTCCACTGTGTACATGTAGCTTTGCTTGTTCTGCTCCCCACTCTGTCTCTGGTGAATCCTCTCACCTCCTGCACCTCTGGCCTGTACCCCAGTTCTTATATGCATAAATAAATGAATTAAAAAAAAAAAAAAGAACACGAGGGCCCTCCCTGGTGGCTCAACTGGTTATGTAGCAGTGCAAGCTGGCCACAACCTCAGTGTGGATCCCCAGCCCGGAGGTGATCCACATGGCATGGCAGACCTCTCCTGACCAGCCTGCTGCTCAGCATTGTACTTCATCAATCTGCCTGTTCTGCTCCTCATTCTGTCTCTGGTGAATCTTCTAACTGCCCCTGTACCTCTGGCCCCTGCCCCAGTTCTGTATGAATAAATAAATCTTTAAAAAAAAAAAAAGGAACACTAAAAACCTGAGGTTTCTAGGCAGTGTATAGAGAACTTTTTATTATTTATTAATTTTCTTACATGTTGTTCATTTTTGTAAAATATTTAATTTCTCCTCTCAGTCCCATCAGTCTTCCAACACGTGATCCTGTGAACATTATAGTCCCTTGTGCTTGTCTTTCCCATTTAAATTTTCTGCCTCCCCTCCCCTGTTACATGAATTGGATCTGTACTTTGCTGGCTAGTTTTGTCTTTTATTCTGACCATTTGTTTGGCTTCCCTATAGCCCTCAAGAAGACTTTTTAGATAACTGCTAGCTTTTTTGTTTTAATATAATATAGATTAAAACAGAAGAGTTAGGTCTTCCCTGGTGGTGCAGTGGGTTAAGAGTAGCACTGCAAGCTAGCCCCAGTCACTTCAGTGTGAGTTAAATCCCCCGCCCTGGAGGTGATCCACATGAGGCAGGAGACCTCCCCTATCTCACCTGCTGCTTCAGTGTACTTTGTCAGTCTGCCTGTTCTGCTCCCCAGTCTGTCTCTGGTAAATCCTCTCACTGTCCCTACATCTCTGGCCTGTACCCTAGTTCTGCATGCATAAATAAATAAATCTTAAAAAAAAAAAAGGTAAATAGGACAGAAAAAGTAAGTAATCAACCTGAGGATATAATATAGGGCAGATCCTGAGGATATAATATAGGGCAGATCCATAGGGCAGAAGGGCTGGAATGAACACTTAAGGTAAAAAAAAACTTAAGCTTTATGTAGAATCTTTAGGTAAAGGAGGAAGATGTGGTTAAACCATTAAGAAAGATGACATTGGTTTTACTACAATGATAAAACCACTAAAGTCTTTCACTTGTAACCAAACTAGAAAGGGAAACAGAAGACTTTTGAGATTACCATATAAACCACTAGAATTAACTACTTCTTTATGATTTTTACTCAGATCAAATTCTACCTACTTGTTTTAAAATAATCTGACAATTCTTTTTTACTATTTTGTAGTGATACTAAGAGTTAACTGCTGAGTAACTTGCCTAAATAGCATCACCTAGAAGTAAGCCTATTTATTGGTTTCATTCTCCTGTCATTTTAAAATTAAGCAAGTCAATATCCTGAATTATTATTTGTCTTTGTTCACAGTTCTTTTAAGAGGGATCAGTAAAAAAGATAAATTGTTTCTTGTATAGTCATTGTTACACATAGGCAATTGCCAATTAGTTCTACATGTCTGAGACAGATATTCTGCTCCTCTCAATTTTGACATAATTATGTCACTTAATACACAGAAGAGACATACCCTTAGATCAATGACTCTGTTGTCTAATCTTGTATCTTGATTCACAGTAGCTCTTCCTTCCTAAAAAAGAAAAATTCCCTAAATATTTTAAGAACACACACACAAAGAAACAATTTTGGAAGCCATGTTTACTTTTAAGTGAGAATAGATATGTTAATACTATGTCCCCTAAATCATAGCTTCAAGAAACAAGACACCAAAAAAAAAAATTATTAAAAGAAACGGAGAGAAGGAAAAAAGAGAAATGAGGATAAACAAATGTTAATGCTTTCTATCTATTTCCCAGATCTAAAAAGCCTTGCTTAATCATTGGGATGTCAGAAGAATTCACCAGTTGCATCTTCAATGATTCAGAATTTTTCCTGCTAAGGAACAGATAAAAGCTGGCATTGAGGAGTATTTTTCAAGGCATTCTTGGCACTGCTAAAGGTTTCTGAGACACTTTCAGGGGATCCACTCAATCAGACCTACTTTTCATAACTATCTTTTCATTCTTATTTTCTGAGTGTACTGAGGTATTTTTGAAAAGCTACTCGATGTGTGCTACTGCAACAGAATAAATGCAGAGGCACATATAAAAATCTAATTTCTGTCTATTTGACATTAAAAGTACAGTGACAATGCCTCTCTTGACATTTATTTTTGTTTTGGAAAATGACTATTTTTCATAAAATACATTATTTTTATTATTCATGTAAGAATAATATATACACATTACTGCTTTTTAAATAAATTAATATTTAAATATTTAGAATTTTATCTTCTACTGTAAATAGAGACACACCTATAAAAACAAAAAGCTTATGGGGTAAATTATTTTTAAATGTGTAAAGAGATCCTCAGACCAAAAAGTTTTAGGATTGTTGATATAAGAGTAAATATGAATAAAAATAAAGCACAAATCAATTCATAGGTCTTCTTTATATAAAACTAAGACATCAGATAGTCAAACTAAACATATAGAGGAAACATACTATGCCAAAAATACAATTTTCACCTCTTCTCCTTCCACCTCAGGTCGGACAGCATCATCCAGTTGTAGAGGCAGGCGAGGTTCTGCCAAACTGATCACATAAATCTGAAAGTGAGAGAGTACCAAAAATATAATGAAGTATACAAAACTGGACATCTTTCCTTAAAAAAAAAAAAAAAGAAACCAAAAAAATCCTGCAGTTGACTTAAACATGAAACAATGTTTGCATATCTTTAACTGAAACTACTTGTGAAAATCAAACAAGATGGTACGTTTGTTCACTTATAAAATGGGGATTAGTATTTTTTGCCTACCTCCCTGGGTTGCTGACTAGTGAAATAAGAAATATTAAAAAAGCTTTGTAAATTCTTTTTTTTTCCTCTTAGTTGTTAATTTTTTTTTTTAAGATTTTTTTATGCATACAGAACTGGGGTACAGGCCAGAGGTGCAGGGGCAGTGAGAGGATTCACCAGAGACAGAGTGGGGAGCAAAATAGCAGATTGACAAAGTACACTGCTGAGGGGAGCAGCAGGTGGGTTAGGAGAAGTCTGCTGTGCCAAGTGGGTCACCTCCCTGGCTAACTTCACAGTGCAGTGCTTTAACCTGCTGTGTTCCAGAGAGGGCCCAATCTTTGCAAATTCTGAGATGCATAACAACGTTATAGGTGAGTAACTGGTGTGGAGGAGTCTGGGTTTATGGCCCTCACTTTGTCACATAAACACTGTTGTTAGGCAAATCACTTAACCTCAGAGCTTCAAAAACCTATTGTGTAAAATGAGGTCTGTGGTAAGAATTAAGTGGGATAATAAATATGCACACACTTTGCTCATTTGATGGAGTTCTAACAAATGAATTGTTATTACCATTCATAGCATTTGACTGTTTCTACCAGTAAGACCAAAGTCAGTTAAACTCTGATGTTCCTCTCTTTTTTCCCCACGTATTTTTTCATTACCATCTTTCACTAAACATGTTCTGTTTCTTTCTGTAGCTCTCCTAGTTAGGAGCAATAGGGAGTGTCCCTTTACAGTGCTAAAACCTCTCAACAATCACTCACACTAAATACACATTTTGTAATACAAGTTTTTAGGTCATAAAAAATGAGCTTGGGTTTTCTGGTTACCCTTAAAAACATGTTACAGTATTATTCATTCCCAATAATACTTGGTAAATCTGCTAAAGCACAAAGGAGAAGTAGGTATGATTCAGTTATTCCAGGAAGAGAAATTATATTCTTCTAACTGGTAGAAATTATCTTGCAGCTGTCATTTAGGGTCAGTACAGACATTTCAAGAAGACCTATCCAAAGGATACTCTTATACCCTCATAGTAAAATTGAATAATCTGCCACAACCCCTTATACTCAAGTTGTAGTACTTCCCTCTGATGACTTAACAGAAGCTAGATCTCCATTGCAAAGTTAGAGAACTGTTAGAGCGACCTTTTCTATTTTTGTAACTAGTAGAAATTCACTGTCTTCTTCATTAAGATGGAAGCACTTTGATCCCCAAGGATTTCACGTAGTACTTTGGCACAAAATATATACTTAGCAACTCCTCACTGAATAATTAAACGATAAGAGTCATTGCTTATTGTAAAATTCTATTTAATAGACAATACCTTATGTTTTATGATATACTTTATAACTTTTTATTAGAGAAAATTTGTCAGCTCTTCAGGCTTTTTATTTATTAACATTCATTGAAACTGTATTTTATGCTAGAGTATTTTAGAGGTATAATAATTTGCTTCTAACTGGTAGAAATTATCTTGCAGCTGTCATTTAGGGTCAGTACAGACATTTCAAGAAGACCTATCCAAAGGATACTCTTATACCCTCATAGTAAAATTGAATAATCTGCCACAACCCCTTATACTCAAGTTGTAGTACTTCCCTCTGATAATTGTTTTATTTATAAAAGTTTTGAAAAAGATTTTACTTGGAATATGGGAGCTGTGCTCTTGATAAGAATATACCTAAGCTGGCCCTCCCTGGTGGCGCAGCGGGTTAAAGCACAACACTGAGAAGCTAAAGCCAGTTCCGCATGAGTTCGATTCCCGCCTGCCACGGAGGTGACCACATGGTGTGGCAGAGCTCTCCTAACCCACCTGCTGCTCCCCTCAGCAGTGTACTTCGTGGATCTGCCTGTTTTGCTCCCCACTTTGTCTCTGGTGAAGCCTCTTGCTGCCCCTGAGCCTCTGGCCTGTACCCCAGTTCTGTATGCACAAATAAATAAATCTTTAAAAAAAAAAAAGAATATACCTAAGCTGGTTTGCCTTTACTAGGTCACAGGTGAAGTTGGTTAGAAATGAACTTACACAAAGGGAATAAAATAATTTAGCAACAAATAAAAGGAATAAACAAATAACAACAAAGTAATTTGGCAAGTTAGGTCTGTGAAGAAAATCTTATACTTTTTAAAGAGTTGAAGAGTTCCATGACAATCAATTCCAGTTAAATAAATCTTACTCCCCAATCAGTATGTGTGTGTGTGTGTGTGTGTATTTCTTCCTATATCTGTCAGTGCCTGACTGCTCTTACATGTTCACACACTGGCACACACACACAGGATGGGGTGGGGATGAGGAAAATGTGTGAATTTGCTTACAGTAGTTTAAAAGTCAATGATAATGAGCACTCGAGAAGAAAACAAATGTGGGGTAAATCTTTTTTATGAAAAGGAATTATTGTCGAAATGTAAAGCCAATATAGTAGTGACTCTTGACTCCTTTTTACTGTAAAATATCAGCTGTTTGATGATTATGGGGAAATATTATAATCAACACTAAGTATAATTAATCAACCTGCAGAAATATATCACTACAAGAAAGTTCACAGCAAGACAGGTTCACAATTCTAAGTATGTTTTACACTTTCCCCTATGTAACTGTGACTATTTATAAAAATAGCTACAAAAATTGCTCCTCCTATAATACATGTCTTTTTCGATGATATTTTCTTCCCGTCAAGAAGTGAATTTATTTTCTCCATCCCTTAAGCCTGAGTTTTGATATATAACTTGTTTTGACCACTATTTAGCAAATGTGATACAAGCAGAAGCTTGAAAATGTTTGCATGTGAGGGCTTCCTTCTCTCGTTGTTGAGAACTCTTTAGCACTATGCCAACAAGCCAAGGCTAGCTAGCCAGATGAGAGGCCACAGTGAGAGATGTCCCAGAAATATCAAAGAGCTCAGGTGATATCACAGGAAACAGATGTGTCATCAAAAATGAGCCCCTCACCCTAACTGCTAATGCACAGAATGGTGGGCATGTAAATTTTAAGTCACTAGGTATTATAGTGGTTTGTTACATAACAAAAATTGATTCCGTAGACAATTTGTAAACCTTAATATATTACATCAGTTCTAACTATTAAAAACATATAGTATGACATGAATACCAATAAAAACTACTCAACTTATTTTCCACCTAATTTTATATTATGAAACGTTACCTTTTGAACATGTAACTCTACATCTTGCTGTGTACAGCTTCCAATTTTCTGATTCACTTTTCTCACAACACCTTCTACATCTACGATGCTCTCTTTGTTGATGCTGTCAAAAGAAAAAATTCCCAACTTTAATCATCTCATCAGAGGTGTCAGAACTCATTCAGTATTTCTACAGTAAAGCTGAATATATTATGCTCTTCTTTAATACAGTAAGCCACTTGAGATAAAGCCAGCCTATTTAACCTACTTATAATACGCTATTAAGCAGCACACTTTGTGAGGTTCCTTGAAGAGATGATATTTCGGATGCCATAATTTAGATACCATTTATAAAATACTCTAAATATAAAAGACAATAGCATCAGTACTGAATTGTGAAAGAAGGAAAAGTCTTTCAATTATTTATTAGAGAATATTTCCCTCCCTATAGTTGAAATTTACTAAGATCAGCATTTCCTAGAACAAGAAACACTGGCTTCAATAAATGCTATTAACGACATGTAATGGAGTTAAATAGTAGAAGAAGGTCAAATGAAAGGATTTCAAGGTAACAGGAGGACATTAGGGTGCTGCAATAAAATCCTCACTGCCTATAGTTTCTAAGTATACATTGTCATTGGCTCTATGACAGACAGCTTATTGCACTGTGGACTCTCATTTAAGAATATCTCTATGAAACTTAATATATACTCTCCATGTAAGGTAAATGCATCTCTAGGTCAGTTTAATTCTAAAACAAACTTAAATTTTAAACATAAGAAACTGAAATTCTTAAAGAAAATTAATGAAGTAGTTTATTAATAAACACTTGGATTATTTGTTGATCTCTAGTATACAACCAAGGGAAAAAAAGTATAATTCATTATGCTATTTCCCATTAAAAATGTATTAATTTTGGGCCTTCCCTGATGGTGCAGCAGGTTAGGACGCAGCACTGCAAGCTAGCCACTTCAGTGTGAGTTCGATCCCTGGCCCCAGAGGTGATCCACATGGCATGGCAGACCTCTCCTGATATGCTCGCTGCTCCCCTCAGCAGTATACTTCATCGATCTGCCTGTTATGCCCCCACTCTGTCTCTGCTGAATCCTCTCACCACCCCTGTACCTCTGTATGCATAAATAAATAAATCTAAAAAAAAAGTATTAGTTTTACTTTTGTGTATATTCTTGTACCTGAGAGAATGTGATACAATATACTTGTGGAAAAGTTAAGATTTAACATTCAGGTCTCAGAAAGTGATATCAGCATCATAGTGCCTCAGCTGGTCAAAGACAACTTCCCATGTAGAACTATCAATCAAAACTCTCAAATGCTACATGGAACTGCAGAAAGTAAGGTGAAAAGAAAAATCCAAGAGTGATAACTGAGAGATTTTAAGAGTTCCTCGCACAGCTAGTAGTAGAAAAGGCAAATATGTACTATCCTGGATCCTGTTTATCTGGTTTGTCATAAGACTCAGCTAATTTTTGTATTAGCCTGTCATACAGGACTGAGTAACTCAAATCCTTGCCTAGACTCCTACAAATTAACGCAACCAGATCTAATACAAAAGAAAACAAGAACCACCCCCCCAAAAAAGGCATTAAATTCTAATGGTTCTGATAAGGAATTGGGTTGTTGGTAGTTGGGGCATTACTAAACAACAAGCTTACTTTACACAAGAACACCATACTCCATTTTCATATTAGCTCAGTGTGGGAGAAAAGGATTAAAAAGAGGATAATAGATCAAGTGAGGTAAATTAAGAAAGAAGAATTTTCACTTTCTAACAATGTCTAGAAACCTGCAATATGTCTTATTACCAACTAACAGCCAAACTATAGCCAAACCACCAAAACAAAACTCAACAGTGCACTTTTCTTGCATCCTTCTAAGTTCTCCTGCACTAGAATTATTACCTAATAATTTCAGCTTTTAGTTAAAATATGTGTGCTGAGGTAAGTTGTTGGTGAATTATATGAGACCTGAAGGGATCACAAAAAGATCCAGTTAACTGTAAAAGTGTTTCCTGAAACTGTCAATCTAGTGTCGAAAAGTCTTTCCTCAATTGTGACTTCCATATACCAGTTGTGTCACCTGTTTGCATGAGTAACCTTGATGTCCAAATGTAAGATTCAGGCCTTATGAGAATTCTATTGCTTACTTCACATGTTTTCAAAAGGAAGGTTTATTTCTTCTCCACTGATCAGGGTTTACTGCTTCATGGTTTCCTAATCTGCTCCAGTTAGAACTCTACCCTACACATCCCCCATTATGTTTCTGCTCTCTTGTTTCTAAGGAGATCTTTAATTTTTTTAAATTTAATTAATTAATTGAGTAACATTGATTTACATCACTACATCAGATTCAGAGGAATAGGTTCACACTGTTCGGTCTTTTATATTTAGACAGTCTTCTTCAACTCAATTCTTTCTCTCCTCAAAATTACTCCTTTTATTTAGGACCTAAAAACTTAGTACTAACTCTACCTTTAACACTTTCTTTAATTCACTAGTCATACCTTGTTTTATTTGCTTTCCAGATACTGTTTCTTTTTTTTTCCCTCCCAAACAAGTTTAAGGTTTATAGGAGCCCTGGTTTATCAAGCCTATCAGTGCCGTTATTACCAAAGTCGTGCATTTATTCAAGTCTCTGTGAACATTTTGTTAATTTTTGTAATATCTCAAAGCTTCTCATAATTATGATGTCTGTTACAGTGCTCTGTGATCAGTGATCTTTGATGTTACTACTTTGTTGATGACAAACTAAATATGTGTTTGATCAGACACTCCCCCATCTCTCTGTTCTCTAGAGCCTCCTTATATCTTCACATGCAACAATAATGAAATTAGACTAATTAATAACTCTTATAAGTGTTATAAGTGTTCCACTGACAGGTAGAGTCCCATGTTTCCCAAAGCTAGAAATGACTAAACTTGATGAGTAAGATATCCTGAAGGTCAAGGCAGGCTGACATCTAGGCCTCTTGCACCAAAGACAGTCAAATTGCGAATGTAATAGAAAAGTTCTCTAAGAAAAAAGTGCAACACAAGTGATCACATGAATGGTGACAAAGCAGAAGAGCCTTATTGCTGATATGGAGAAAATTTTAGTGATCTGGATAGATCAAATAATTCACACCATTCTCTTAAAGTCAAAGGCTAATCCAGACCAAGGCCCTAATTATCTCCAATTCAATGGATACTGAAAGGTCAGGAAAATGCAGAAGAAAAGATGAAAGTAGCAAAGAGTGGTTCATGAAGTCTGATGAAAGAAACCATATTCATAACACTAATAGTACAAGGCAAAGTTGCAAATGCTGAAGTAGAAGTTGGAGCAAGTTGTCTAGAAGATCTAAGATAATTGATGAAGGTGGCTACACTAAACAAGACGTTTATAATGTAGATGACACGCCCTTATAGTGAAAGATGATGCCACAAAGACTTTCATAACCGGAGAGGAGAGAAATCAATGAAAGGCTTCACTGGATAGGCTTTCTCTCTTGTTAAGGGCATACTGCTGGTAAATTTAGGTTGAAACCAATGCTCATTTACCATTCTAAAAATCCTATGGCCCTTAAGAATTACACAAAAAAGAGGCTAAATTACTACAGATACAGCAGAAATCCAGAATACAATGATTACTATAAACATTTATATGTAAACAAATTCAACAATCTAGATGAGAAAGAAATTCTTAGAACTATAAAGACGCCCAAAGCTGAACAAAAAGAAATAGAAATGTTACACCAATTATAAGCAAGTGAAAATGAAACAGTAATCAAAACCTTTTCAAAAAACAAAATACCAGGACCAGATGGCTTCACAATTGAGTTCTACCAAAAGTTGAAAGAGGGAGCTAATGCCTACCTATCCTACAAAAACATTTTCAAAAAAACCAAGAAAGGAATACTAGCAAATGTATTTTATGAAGCCAACACTGCACCCATACCAAAATCAAACAAAGATAACATTAAAAAAAGAAAGCTACAGACCAATCACCCTAATGAACACAGATGAAAAACTCAATAAAATCTTAGCAAATTAAATCCAACAATGCATCAAAAGGGTTATACATCATGACCAAGTGGGATTTATTTCAGAGACACAAGGATGATTCAACATCTGAAAATCAATTAATGTAAATAACCACACCAACAAAAATAAAAATAAAAACCTTATGGTCATATCAACAGATGCTGAGAAAGCATTTGGTAAATTCCAACAGCTATTTATGATGAAGGCCATCGAAAAACTTGAAATGAGAGACATATCTTAGCATAATAAAAGTCATATATGACAACAAAGGATTGAGAATATTATATAACTTTAATTGGTAAAGCAGTAGCAGGGTCTCAGATAACTGACTCCAATTTTGAACGTTCTCCTCTGGGTAAAATGCTATCAAACAGCATCACATGCTACAGAGATCTTTCTTGAAGTAAGTCAATAGACACAGGAAGAGTCCAACTGATGAACTTTTCTGTTGACGTAAATTGCCACAATCACCCCAAACTTTAGCAGCTACAAGCAATAAAAAGTGTGGCAACACCTTCCACTAATAAAAAAAAAAAAAAAACTAGAACTTTCTGAGGGCTCAGATGGTTAGCAATAAATATTTTAAAACTAAGGTGTGTATATGTTTTTTAGTTTTAGTACCATTACACACTCAAGAAATTCCACTATAGTGCTTCTATAATTTTTTATGTACTTGGGGAAAACAATGTTATTTACTGTGATAATTGCTTTATGTAACAATGATCTAGAACCAAACTCACACTATCTCTGAGGTTTACTTGTAGTATTATGTGCTAAAATACTTGATCAACAAGACTGCAAAAACAACATTTTTAACACTGTTTCTAGAACTAAATAGTCACAAAAAAATTCTGAAATTTCTTAAGGTAGGCTGAGGCTAAACTTCTGTTATCACAAATTGTTCCGGTCAATCAGATATAGAGGATTGACCTTTTATATTTATTATATTTTGACCTTTCAACCTCAGTACTTATCTTACATAGCAGTTATATGTTGTTAATAGAATAGCCCTTTCAGATTAAAAAAAAAAAGTATTTATTTATGCATACAAGAACTGGGGGACAGGCCAGAGGTACAGGAGTGACAG